GAGGGGGAGGAGGAGGAGAAAAAATAAATTTTAGAGACTAAGTACCTTGGATATCAACCTTTCTTACCTGTGTTCTTAATCACTACATTTTGGGCGGGGGTGGGCCGGTACTGAGGATTAACCCAGAGGCACTTTACCGCTAGGCCACATCCCCAGCCCTTTTTATTTTTGATTTTGAGACAGGGTCTCACTAAGTAGTCTAGGCTGTCCTCAAACTTTCACTGCATGTTCTTAATCACAACATTGCTCATAGCATCACAAACATCAAGGGTGTTTGGAGTGTTAATCTTTTTTAAAAATGAGGATTACAAGGACCTATTATTCCCAAGGATTCTTCACTGGTAGGTTTGGGGCAAGCCCAGATATACACATTTTCAACATATATCACCATTTGCTCCTGACCAAAAAAACATTCAACACGATCTTTGTTATTGGTAACATTATCAGGGAAGTAAATTCTAAAACTCTGCACAATAAGACATACACACAAACACAGAGATACTATATATGTATTACAATATGACAAGAGCAAATGAATAAATGGATTGACATTTTTTGGAAGCAGAGTTCTAACTCTGGGAGAAAGGAGATACAAATATAGAACCTGACAAAATGAAGAGAATCCTGAAGACATCTGTGGAGACAGATTTGAATTAGAAGTATTAGTATGAACTCGTGATTTTCTAAATGTATATTATTAGGCCCACCCACTGAAAGGAGGCAATGACATCTCAGTAGCACTAAGTTTGACACAGCTGTAATAATAAATACATTTAATGCCTACATGTTGCTTTCTAAATACTGTTTATTCCCCACTGAAAGAAACCAAGGTTTACTGAAGAAATAGCTGATTCTATATCTAGTATAGAAAATATAAGACGAGTTTGAAACATATCATATAATTAAGAACCAGTTAAGGATGAGAACATGCCAAAGGACACAGAAGATGGCTTAAAAGGATTCCCAATAGCCAAACTGAGTTCAATTTTAACATGAAAAATAAAAATGATGGTAGTTAATTATAAAAAATTGAATATAAAGAATCTATGAGTCCACAATAATTACAAAAAAAAGTAATGATGGGGAGGTAAATCACTTCTTTATAAAACAATAACAGTGTCTATATTTATAAGGAATGAGAAAATTTGCATATGACCATTTAGAAAACATCAGTGAAATGATGGATTTAGGCAAGGATCATCAATGCACACCAAAAACACCAGGTAAAATATTAAGGAACAGAAAATTCACAGGATTTAAAATATCACCCAGAAATTATTTATTAATTATAAAAGAGGAAAACATTTATTTTCAAGGAGAGATTTAGCAGATACCAACTTAATAAACTAGTTAAACTTCATATTACCAATGACAGTCAAAAGGAAATGTGCCACAGCTGGGATAAAATGGAAAGCACCCATCACCTAGGTAAATTCTCATCCAAAATATGTAATCTGGCTAGGTGTGGTGGTGCATGCCTGTAGCTGAGGCAGGAGGATCATGAGTTCAAAGCCAGCCTCAGCAACACTGATTCTGTAAGCAACTCAGTGAAACCCTGTTTCTAAATAATATATAAAAACAGGCTGGGGATGTGGCTCAGTGGTTAAGTGCCTCTGAGTTCAATCCCTGGTACCCACCTCCATCCAGTGCAATCTGACTCTCATCCTGAAGAAACAACCAGAAAATTCAGACTGTGAAACATTCTAGAAGACAACTGGCCTGAACCTTGCAAAATGTCATTGTCATATTTTCAAAAAGGGGTAGGGGGCAGGAAAACTTCTGGATTAATGATTAAAGAGATATGACAACCGACTGTAATGTTCGATTATTGATTGCTTCCTGGGTAGAAAATAAAAAGGGAAACTAAAAGCCATAATGTATACAAATTAGTCTTAAATACTGTAGAAAAAATCATGAAGACTTGGTAATTGGTAAATCTAGGTCAAGTATGACACTATATACTCCTCTGTAGGTTTCAAGTATTTAAAATGAAAAAAAATTATTAAACAGTAGAATTAAGAAAACAAAGAAAATGCTTTCAGAAAAATAATTTCTGCACGATAATCATATTTAAAGGCAAAATTTTTATACACCTTGGATTTAACGACAATCATACTCATCAAATGGATGAATATTTGTCATGCGCCATCTAGTGGTAAAATTCTAATTTACCATGACTGGAGGATTTCTAATGAACACTGAATGATCAATGAACCATTAAATATTATTTTAATTCTTATTAAAATAAATAAATAAGCATTTCACATTACCATCTACCAATAGAGATAAAAGGAATTATCTTAATTTTCCATATGTGTTCTTGGTGACAAATGAATGCATCTGGTGAGATGTCCTGTTGACCTGATGCATCTTCACACAAGGTGTACAAGCAAGCCCAGGTATAAGCTGACCTAAATCTTGACCAAGTGTCCTGTGATTCTCCCTGGAACATGTGAGATAAACAGTCTTGTGAGGACTATTTCTCACTACTTTTCTATTATGTGGAAGCTGCCAGGGGCAGTTTCTTACCAACCTTCCTTACTCTAGAAAGGCATGGGGATTTCCATCTTGCTTCCTCCCTCAGGGTCCAACTTCAAGCTATAGAATGGCTTATATAGACTATTTGGAAACAGCTCCTTTGTGACATAATGACCCACTGCTCATGTCACCTGTCCCCTCTGGTTTACTACCTTCCTGGGGGACCAAGGATGTGGGGAGTTGACCCCATGATAATCTTGCTTATACCATTGAAAGGGTAAAGTTTCTAAGCTGCAAAGCCTGAGTTAAAATGTAAAGGACTAGGTATTGTAAAGTTTCTGAACTGCACACAGAACCTGAAATTCCTGAGGCAGTTAAGACAATGCCCGGTACTGACCATTTAGTTGTTAAATAACCTGGACCCTGTGCAGTTTGGCACGTAGGCATTCAGGGCCCAAACCAATCAGTTTGAATGTATCCCCTCCTTAGGACTGACCTATCACTCCCGCCCGACCTGTTCCTGCTAATGAATGTGCTAATCATGTTTAAGAATTGTTGTTTGATTTCCCCGTGGTGTATGGTGATTTGTTAAAGGGGACTGTGATGTATGTAAAGTCCCTGTCCTCCCTAAAAAAGTGTACTTAAGCACTGCTCAACCCCTGCTCGGGGCTCTGGGCTGCTCTCCCTTCTTGAGTGGGCACGGAGCCCCAGCGCGCTGGATCCTCAATAAACCCTCTTTTGCTGTTGCATGAGTCGGTCTCTTGGTGGTCTCTTCCTCCGACGTTCGCCAGACCCTTACACCATCTGTTAGTAATGAACTTCTGCATCTATTTCAGACTCAGTATATTCTTGCTGGCTCAATCAAGGACCAGGTGGTAAGCCCATAACAGTTCCTGCTGATTACAGACTTCATGATTACTTGACAAGGGCATTTTTCCTTCTCAAAATGAAAGGGACAGAGTTAGAATGTTTTAGCCTTTTCTGATTTGAGAACCTTTTAAACAGTAATATAACTCTGGTTTTAAAAATTATTTTTATAACTTTTATGTGACTTGTGATAACAGTTCTGAAGTATAGTGATAATGGTTTATTTAAATTTGTATCTATTTGAAAATTTCTATTACATGTAAAAAATGTTGACCTTTGCCCCATAATGAGCAATATGCATAATAGAAAAAAAGGTAAAAACCTGTATAATGATCAAAACCAACACAGTTAACTCCCAGCCCTCAGCAAAGTAATAAACCACTTGAGTGACTGAGTTATGGTTATCAGCTGATCTCTACTAGCCACCCTATAATACATTCTTGAGGCACCAAAACATTGTTTTATAAAAGGGAAATAGTTTAGT